AGTTAGCATTCTGGAAGAATTTCATAAATTTGGGTTGAGGTGCATTTCAATGTTATCAATGTCTGTTTGGGATTCCGAGTCTGGGAATAGCTCCGTATGGTGATTCTGGTATTGGGAGCGAGTCCGGAAGTGGATTTGGATGTCCGTAGGTCATTTTGGGGTCATTTGGCGAAAGTTAGAAATTTTACATAATTTTGAGAAGTTTGACTGGGAGTGGACTTTTTGATATCGGATTCCAATTCCAGAAGTGGGAGTAGGTCCGTAATGTCAATTATGACTTGTGTGCAATATTTGAGGTCAATCGGACGTGATTTGACAGGTTTCGGCATCGATTTTAGAAGTTTGAAGTTTCAAAGATTCATTAAGTTTGAATTGGAGGGTGATTCGTGTTTTGTGATGACCCGATAGGTCATCTTATATTTTAGAACCTAATTCTGTGTTTCGAGGTCTCAAAAACCTCATTTTAGCCTTCCTCGATTTGTGTGCGCAGTCCGGGTGTTCTTCCAGAAGGCTTATATGTTAAAAACTGATAAAAATAGTAATTTTGCCTTAGAAATTCATTTAAGTTGACTTCGATCAACGTTTTGCGCAAACGGACCCAGATCCGTATTTTGACGGTCCTGGTAGGTCTGTATCGTAATTTTGGACCTGGGCGTATGCCCGAAATTGAATTCAGAGGTCCTTAGCTCGAGATATGGAATTTTGATGAAAAATTAAAAGTTTGAAAGTTTAATGATTTTTAGAATTGACTGATGTTTGGTCTTGTCGATACCGGGTTCGTATTTTGGTTCTGGAGCCCGTTACAAATCCATTATTATATTTATGACTTGTCTGTGAAATTTGGTGAGAAACGGAGTTGATTTGACGTGATTCGGACGTTCGGTTATGAAAATAGAAGTTTTAAAGTTTTCTTGAAAATTTCATTTGATTTGGTGTCTGATTCGTAGTTCTAGGCATTATTTTGGTGTTATGTTGGCGCGAGCAAGTTCGTATGAGGTTTTTGGACTTGTGTGCATAATTGGTTTGGAGTCCCGAGGGCTCGAGTGAGTTTCGGATAGGCTACGGAAGCTTTTTGCATTTAGAAATCTATTTTTTTTGTGCTTCAGCTGTTATCTGGTGTGTTCTTCTTCGCATTCGCGAAGGTACTCTCGCGAGCGCGAAGAGTAAACTGGGGCAGGGTATTTTCTTAATCGCGAACGCGAAGAAATTGGGGCCTTACCCTTCGCGAACGCGACCAGCTTCTCGCGAACGCGAAGCTTTAGGGACCTGGGGGAGGGGTCAATCATTCTTCTACGCGAACGCGAGCATGGGCTTGCGAACGCGAAGGCCAGGGGGAGCAGACTTCGCGAATGCGAAGGAGGACTCGCGAACGCGAAAGCCACTCAGGCTGCTGCTCATCGCGAACATGGCAGGCCCTTCACGAACGCGAAGAAGGCCTAACGCCCAGACCTTAAAACAGAACCAAAACGGGATTTTACCCATTTTTCATAAACTCTCCATTAGAGCTCGGCCTAGGTGCGATTTTGAAGAGAAAACTCAACATCAATTCATAGATTTGTACTCTTTAACTCATTTTCTTCCATTTCTATCATCACCCATTAGATTCCTAGCCCTAATCTTTGTTCTTTCATGGTAGAAAATTAGGGATTTAGGAAGAATTAGGGGGTTTTGCAAATTGGGGATTTAGACCTCAATTTGGTGTCGGATTCCGAAACTAATTACATAATCGGGCTCGGGGGTGAATGGGAGAATGGATTTTGGTCCGAACCTCGGGTTTTGACCAAGCAGGCCCGGGGTCGATTTTTGACTTTTGGGGGGAAAGTTTGTGGAATCTAAATTTATGCATTGTAATTGATTTCTTTAGCAATATTTGATATTATTGAGTCATTTGTGGATAGATACGAGTGGTTTGGAGGTGGATTCTAGAGGAAAAGCGGTAATTGAGCATTGAGTGGCCTTTGGAGCGAGGTAAGTATCGTGGTTAACCTTGATTTGAGGGTATATGACTTGTTTGTCTATTTTTTATATGTTTAAATGTTGGGGAACAGTTTATATGTGAGGTGACGAGTACTTATGCGCGAGACCTGACGCCAGATGCCCCTCATTTTATCCCTCGCGAGGCGAGCTCCCACGCCAGATGCACCTCACTTTAGACCTAGCGATGCGAGCTCTCATGTGAGCTTTTCATCAGGCGACATGAGACCTAACGCCTGGCCCAGTTCGCTGGGGACCAGGTGACGCGCAGCGGACTGTACGACCTGCTGAAATTACCTGCAAACATGTTAGTACCTAAAAACGAAAAGAAAAATTCTAACTACACTAAAAATCAACTACGAATTGGGTTGCCTCCCAACGAGTGCCTTAGTTAATGTCATGGCCTGACGAATACAACATTACAATGGGTTTCCTCCCATAAAGCGCTTGATTTAATGTCGCGGCACGGCGCAGGCAATCGACTTAAGGCTCGCTCAACATTGGTGGCTCTATAAAATGAGTCACCGACACTACTTTCGTGTTATCCATACCCAAATAATGTTTTAACATGTGCCCATTAACTCTGAACGTGCGAGAGCCATCTTCTGAATCAATCTCTACGGCTCCAGTGAGATGAATCTCTAGCACACGAAATGGTCCTGACCATCTTGACTTCAATTTCCCCGGAAACAACCTCAATCTCGAATTGAATAATAATACCCTGTCTCCCGGCTTAAAATTTCACTCAAGAAAATTTTTATCGTGTACCAGTTTCATTCTTTCCTTGTATAACCTCGTACTCTAAAAAGCATGGTATCGAAAATCGTTAAGTTCATACAGCGTTGTGACTCTACTAGTTCCAGCGGCCTCCACGTCCAGATTTAATTGTCGCAACTCCTAGAAGGCTTTATGCTCTAACTCCACCGGCAAGTGACATGCCTTTCCAAACACCAATTTATACGGCGACATACCAATCAGAGTTTTGAATGTAGTGCGGTAAGCCCATAGCACATCATCCAATTTTCTCGCCCAATCAGTCCAAGTAGCATTTACAGTTTTGGTCAAAACACTCTTGATTTCTCTGTTTGACACCTAGACTTGCCCACTTGTTTGTGGGTGATACGGAGTAGCAACTTTATGGTGAACGCCATATTTCTCCAACAACTTTGCAAATGCTCGGTTGCAGAAGTGGGTGCCCCTATCACTGATGATAGCTCTTGGAGTGCCAAATCGGGTGAAGATGTTCTTTCTCACGAAACCAATAACTGCCTTCGCGTCATTTGTTGGAAGTGCCACGACTTCTACCTATTTCGAGACATAGTCCACCGCTACAAGTATGTACTTGTTAATATATGAGCTGACAAATGGTCCCATAAAGACGATTCCCCATACATCGAATACTTCCACCTCTTGAATTGGGTTCATGGGCATCTCATGTCGACGGGAAATATTCTCCGTCCATTGGCACTCATCATAACTTTTCACCCATAGGTGTGCATCTTTAAACAACGTCGGCCAATAAAAATCCCGACTCCAACACTTTAGTCGCTGTCCTTACACCTCTAAAATATCCTCCGTACGGTGAAGCATGACATGCCTGCTAAACAGAAGATTGATCTATCTCGGGAATGCATCTCCGGATCATGTTATCAAGACAAATCCTAAACAAATATGGTTCATCCCAGAAATACATGCGACAATCACGGAAAAACTTTTTCTTTTGCACAGAAGACAAGTCATAGGGAACAATACCGCTTGCTAGGTAATTTGCAATATCTGCATACCATGGTATATCCTCGAGGCTCGTTGCTAAGAGTTGTTCATCTAGGAAAGTCTCCATAATCTCCTACACCTCAACCTTCTTCTCTGCTCCTTCAAGCCTAGACAAATGATCAGCAACTTGGTTTTCTATTCCCTTTTGGTCCCGGATTTCCAAGTCGAACTCTTATAGCAGTGGCACCCATCGAATTAGGCGCGATTTTGACTCCTTTTTCTCAATTAGGTATCTGAGGGCAGCATGGTCAGTGTAAACAATTACCTTTGAACCTATCAAGTATGACCTGAATTTATCAAATGTGAACACCATAACTAGCATTCTTTCTCTGTCACTGTGTAGTTCAATTGGGCGCCACTCAAGGTTCTACTTGCATAGTAGATCAGATACATGGCTTTATTTTTTCGCTGCCCAAGAACTGCTCCCACATCATAGTCGCTTGCATTGCACATTAGCTCAAAAGGTTGCCCCTATCGGGGAACACTATGATTGGTGCAGTCATCAGTTTCTTCTTCAACTCCTCAAATACTACCCTGTAGTCATCAGAAAACACAAAAGGGAGATCTTTTTCAAGCAGTTTACACAAGGGGTTAGCAATTTTGGAGAAATCTTTTATAAATCGTCTATAGAACGAGGCGTGGCCAAGGAAACTTCTTATTTCTTTGACGGAAGTGGGTGGTGGTAGCTTTTCTATCACATTAACCTTTGCACGATATACCTCAATACCCTTACTCAACACTAGGTGCCCCAAGACTATCCCTTCCTGTACTATGAAATGACATTTTTCCCAGTTGAGCACCAGATTAGTCTTCACACATCTTTTCAGCACTCTTTTTAGATTCTTAAGGCAGTCATCGAACGAGTCTCCCACCACTGATAAATCATCCATGAAGACTTCCATTATGTCTTCTACCATATCTGTGAAGATAGCCATCATGCACCTTTGAAATGTGGCAGGGTGCATTGCATAGGGCGAACGACATTCTCCGAAAAGCATAGACGCCATATGGACAAGTGAATGACATTTTCTCTCTATCTTCTGGGGCAATAGAGATCTGATTATACCCCGAGTATCCATCCAGAAAGCAGAAGTGGGACCTTCCAGCCAATCTATCTAGCATCTGATCAATGAATGACAAGGGAAAATAGTCTTTTTGAGTGGCCTTGTTCAATCTTCTGTAGTCCATACAAATTCGCCATCCCGTGACTGTTCTTGTTGAGATTAGCTCGTTGTTCTCGTTTTGCACAACAGTCATTCCACCTTTCTTTGGCACACATTGAACTGGGCTAATTCAATTGATGTCAGAGATGGGGGGAAATGATTCCCGCATCTAACCACTTTATCACCTCCTCTTTCACGACTTCTTTCTCTGGAAGGTTTGTGGCCATCTTCCAATAAAATCTTATGCATACAGAAAGCCGGGATGATACCCTTAATGTCTGCAATGGTCCAACCAATTGCAGTTTTGCACTCTATCAATACCTGCAAAAGTTGTTCTTCCTGCACATCTAACAAACCAAATGAGATAATAACAGGTAAAGTAGAGTTGGGTCCCAAGAAAGCATACCTGAGATGAGGTGGTAGCGGTTTCAGTTCCAACTGTGGTGGCTCTTCGATTGATGGCTTAGCTGGAGGAGTCTTTCTATCTTCTAAGTGCAAAGACTCAATTTCGAGCTCTCTTTTACGAACCCTTGGCCTTCAAGAGCCAGCACCCACTCCACCAAGTCCTCTCCATTTACTTCTTCTAAGTTCATGAGACAGGCTGCTAGAGGGTCTTTAGCATTCAAAGTCACATCTTCCTCCTCCAAAATTACATCCACAACTTCTATTAGAGAGCAGTTAGCAAATTCACTTGGTCGCCGCATAGACTTCTGCACATTGAATGTTATCTCTTTATCATTCAATCTCAATTTTAGCTCTCCAGTTTCACAACCAATTAAAGCTATCCCAGTGGCCAATAATGGTCTTCCCAAAATTATGGGAATCTCCTCATCAACCCGACGGTCCAGAATGACAAAATCTGCTGGGAACACAAACTTTCCAACCCCCACTAATACATCATCAAGGATTCCTGATAGTCTCTTTACTGTTCGGTCGGCTAGTTGTAGTAACATAGATGTGGGTATTACTCTTCCAATGCCTAACCTTTTGTAGATAGCCAAGGGCATCAAGTTTATGCTTGCCCCCAAATCACACAATGCTTTAGCAAAAGCATAGCTGTCTATTGTGCATGGGATAGTGAAACTCCCTGGGTCAGACAACTTCTTAGCTATAGGTCTCGTCACGACAACACTACAGGTCTGGGCTAGTGTAACAGTGGCCAAGTCTTGGAAGTCGAACTTGCGAGACATCATATCCTTCATCATTTTGGCATACCCACGTATCTCCCTCAGGGCGTAAATCAGTGGAATGTTCACCTGGATTTGTTTCAGCATCTCCGTGAATTTCTTATACTACTCATCCTTATGATAGTTGTCCAATCTCTATGGGAATGGTGCTGAAGGTCGCTTCCTTCCTGTGATTTGAGTTTTATCTTGCTCGGGAACTGCTTCTACTGTCGTTTCTTACACTACCTCAGTCTCCTTCGCAACCTCTTTTTCCTTGCTTGTGCTCTCTTGTACATGTTGTATCGTTACCTCAGTTAACCCTGTTAAATCATCTACCTCAATGGGTACTGGCACCAATGTTTTAGTTGGTCGGCTTTTGCGAGCAATTTCTTGCTCTAGATCTAGGTCTCTACTATTTCTTAGACTCACTGCCATAAGCTGCTTCGGGCCCTGATCTTTTGGATTGACATGGGTGTCTTCAGGTAACATCCCTTGGGGATAATTATTCAGAGCGATCGATATCTGCCCTAGTTGAATCTCAATGCCTTTGATAGCTCAGTCATATGATACTACCTTTTCTTGTATCTGGTGGACCTTTTCTTCCATTTTCCCGCCGGCATGAGTTGTTGCAACATTCCTTTAATTTCAAACAACCCATCATCTTGTCGCACTATCTGTTGTTGTTGAGGCTGTTGATAAGCTGGCTACTGATTTTGCTGATAGTGTCCCTGTTGCCTTTGGTAAGGCACAACTTGACCCTGGGGTCGCATGGCTCCAGGATTGATGCTATTATTGTACTGCTGCTGTTCTGGTCTATATTGTTGATTCTCTTGCCCCCAATTCTGACCTCCTTGCCTCAGTCCTCCATAGTTGGGCCACATAGTTCATGTCTTCCTGATAGTGCTGGTTATAACTTTCCGCACTCCAAGAGCATACATATGGTTGGTTAATGCATGGTGTACATAATCCCACATTAGTCGCGTCAACTATGTGTACCTGCTGCTTCTGGCCTGATTCATCGATCTTTGGTGAGGATACTCATTTGCGTCATCAGAGTGGCCATATTTTCGGCTATGGAGTTGTTTGGGTCCAAGGCCATTGAGTGAACGACATGAGTGATCGTAGAGTCTCTTGTCATCCATCCTGAGTTTTGAGCCATTTTATCAAGTAGGATCTTGCATTCTCTAAATGATTTGTTCAAAAATGCTCCACCTGCTGAAGCATCAATATTGGCCTTTAAGTTGTCTGCCAATCCCATGTAGAACCTCTGCCCCAATATTTGCCCTGGAATGCCATGATGTGGACACTTAACCAGCATACCCTTGAACCTCACCCACGTGTCTTGTAGTGTTTCTGTTGGTCTCTGCCTGAAGCTCAATATCTCATCAATTTGTTTGGCAGTCTTATTGGGTGGGTAGAACTTGTTCACAAATTGCTTGACTAATTCCTCCCAAGTAGTGATGGAGTTTATGGGAAGTGAATTAAGCCAAGTCTGAGCCTCTCCCATCACCAAGAATGGAAACAATAACAACTTTATTACTTTCGGTGTCACATTAGGTTGCCTTTGTGTGACACATATCGACAGGAAAGTTTTCAGATGCTGCTGAGGATCTTCAATGTAAGACCCTGAGAACAGTCCCTTGTTCTACAACAAATGTAGCATGTTGTTTGTGATTTAAAATGATTCCGCTTGTATATGAGGGACTGCAATTGCGGTTGCCAGATTTTCGGCGGTGGGTTGTGCCCAATCATACAATGCTGCTTCTAGCACAAGAGGCACCACACCCTTATTGTTTGGGTCATTCGCATTGTTTCTGTTGTTTGGATTTTCTATTTCGTCATCCATGTCTGGTTCGATTTGTTCTATTGAGTTCTGTTGTTGTTTGCCCTTCTTGTTTGCATGATTCAGTGCCTTGAAAAATTTCTCAGGATCTGATAATGCTTTGAACAATTCACCAGTTCTTGAGGAGTTTCTAGGAATGCACATGTAACACCCGAGACTACAAACGTTTGAATTTAAATGTATTTATTTTAAAATGAAAAAAATTGACTACACTAAGAATTCTAGCACTTCTTTTAGCTGCAATTAATAACACCGTTAATTCCCTACCAACGGCGCCAAAATTTGATCACGCCCAACTATGCCTTATAAAAAGGACTAAGTGGTCGTTGCAAATATATTCCGGTTAAGAAGTACGGAGTCGAATCCCATAGGGAATTAACCTATTAAGCACATCTATCTACTAGACTCGCACAAATTCATGCAATCAATATTCAAAAATATTAAAATAACAAGTTGGATGTTTACTAACTAAATAACACATAATGAAAATGCAGTACTTAATAACTAACTACGAACAAGTTGTAGATAAGAATTGGAATGATCTAAGGTTATGATTTCCCCTATTGTCGAAATCATTTCCTCTACATTTCCTATAAATTTGCCTAAGTTTTCTTTACTGATCATGAGTGCTCTGAGTGTCATAATTCTTTCCCGAGTAACTACCACAATTTACTAGACATTTTCTTCCGAATTACGCTAGCTGGCACTAAGTACGGCTCACTCGGATCACACCAAGGTTTCGTTATTCCTAATCCCACCTTTAAACCCTCTGTATTGATCCCTCATATACGTTAGGAGTGATGTTGTTCAACAACTACCTAAATATGCAATCTCTTCCGAGTAATACACACTAAATAGGCACAGTCGATTGATAGCTCTTCAACCAACCAAAATATAAACGTAGTTGAACAAATAGAGAAAATACTATGACAAATTTATATTAACGTAACATGAAAAACATCCTTCAATAGGTTCCATTAAAACCCTAGATTAGGAGTTTAGCTACTCATACTCATATTAACAATATCCCAAATATTTTGCATAACTAAATTATAAAGTAAAGATGAAAGAATGTAGAAATCGATGATTCTATCTCCCAACTGGTGTTCCACGAGCTATTCTTGCTTCCGGTCTCAAAAACCCCTTCAAAGGTGGTGTTTTATGTCTATTTATATGTGTAGGAAAAGACCTAAACGACATAGGTCAAGTCCTAGTCAAACCAGGAGACGAAATAAGCCTTCAAAATTCGGAGTAAGCGTGCCTCAGACCATGCCTCGCGAGGCTCCATACGAGATGAACCTCGCCTAACACTGTGCGGCGCCAACTCCCACGCGAGCTCTAGCTCGCCTCACCCTTTGCGATGCCTGCTCCTACGTGAGCTCAGAGGCTCAGATCGCTAGCTTCCACGCGAGATCAAAGGGTCGCCTCGCAAGCTTCTTCATCTTTTCACTGCTAATGCATTCTTTCTTCTTTCCACAGTTTTCCAGCGCACTTTATTTTTTAAATCTTCCTTTTCCTCTAATTTCATCTCCAATTCACCTACACATAAAATAGACTCCATTACACGCAAATAAAGTATAATTTAACATTAAAGCACATAAAATTCAAGGTAATTAATGTACTAAAATAAGGAATTATAGGCACACATCATTCTCCCTCCCAATAGTACATGTTTAGTTGTTATTTGTACATATACTGTTAAATTGCACAGGTTTGTTATGTAGGTGTCTTGTCATAGCCTCGTCACTACTTCGTCGAGGTTTGGCTTGACACTTACAAGTACATGGGGTCGGTTGTACTGATACTGCACTCTGCACTTCCTGTGCAGATTTTGGTATTGGTCCTAGCTGATCGAGAGGCGTAGTAGCTCAGACTGGTTCATCGGAGACTCAAGGTATATCTGTTGGCGTTCGCAGACCTTGAAGTCCCCGTCTATCTTTTCAATTTTTTTCTTTTACTATTTATTTCGTTCAAACAATTGTGTTTCTTTCAGTCTTTTACTTGTAGTAAATCATAGAAGTTCGTGAATTGTGACTCCAGATCCGGGTGGTAGTAATTAATTAAAATTTTATATTATTTCGCACTCGTTGTATTTCATTTTAGCATATTTGTTGTTATTTACTGAATTGAATAAGGATTGGCTTTACGTCGGCTTTCCTAGTAAGTGGAATGTTAGGCGCCATCATGGTCACGGCAGTGGAAATTTTGGGTCGTGACATGTTTTTAGCATTGTTTGATATGAGTTGAAGGCTTGAATAAGTTCATATTGTGTTTTAAGACGTGTTTGAATCATTGGTTGAGGTCCCGAGGGCCTCGGGTGGATTTCGTATGGTAAACGGATCGAGTTTGGGTTTGGAAGAATACTGGAGATGCTATCATCTGGGAAGAGGGGGAAGGCCGCAGAAGCGGTAGCTGGGCTAAGGGGGAAGGCCGCAGAAGCGGCATGTCTGTGCGCAAAAGCGCATGCGCAGAAATGCTTGTGGCCCGCAGAAGCGGGAGCGCAGGTGCGCTACCTTGGGCGCAGAAGCAAGCGATGTTGGTTTGAGCTGGAGCCGCATCTGTGATGGGACTTCCGCAGATGCGGCTAGAAGGCCGCAGAAGCGGAAGGTCGTCTGAGCAGAAGGTTTTTTTTTATAAAACCGGGATTTGGCCCATTTTTCACCCATTTTTCACTTGGTTGGGCGATTTTTGGAGAGCTTCAAGGGGAGATTTTCATCATCTATATCAAGGTAAGTGATTCCCACCTATTGCAAGTTAAATACTTGGTTTATATTTGGATTTAAGCATGGAAATTTGTAGAAATTTGGGGTTTTGAAGAAAAACCTAGAAATTGCTATTTTTGGATTTTGACCACGAGATTGGACATGGAATTTGAAATAAATTATATATTTGAATTCGGGGTATTATGGGTAAAGTTTATTTTCGAAAATTTTCGAAATCCGGGCACGTGGGCCCGAGGGTTGATTTATCGACTTTTTGAACGGAGTTGGGAATTTGTTTAAATTGATTTGTTGGGAGTATTAGAGTATATTTTATGGGTTTTCACATTGTTTGACTAGTTTGAGAGAGACGGGCATCGGTTTGAAGTGATAGAGTGGCGTTGGAGCCGGTTATGGAACTTCTGAGCGGGTAAGTCTCATGTCTAACTCTGTGAGGGGAAATTACCCCTAGGTGTTGTATATTGATGTGTGCTACTTGTTGTGGGGGCTACGTACACGCGAGGTGACGAAAGCCCGTACATAGCTACATTCATGTTATTGTCCAGGTAGGCTTAAGTTCACATCATCCTATAGTTGTACTATTTGAGCAGTCTCTCGCCTATTAAATTCCTCTGTTTTACATTACTACTTGAGACTAGACTTGCAATTGTAAAGATTTTGCAAGTTTCATGACTTGCCACGAAATAATGGTGTTCCTCTTACGGATTTCTAACGCGTTATGCATTTTCATCAAACCATTTTCCTTAAAAGAATTATAAGTCACATGTTTATTCGTGAATGGGGGTCAAGGACCCATTTAAGCTTCTTATTCTAATGGGGTGAGGTCGTTCGCCTCGGCAGGATTTATGTACCACACTCTCATGAGAGCGGGTCGTTCGCCTCGACAGTGTAATAGATGCATCTATATTTCGTGCCATTCGACCCTCGGCAGTGTACAATTTAAATATTTATGTTGGATCGGGCCGTACGCCTCGACATTTCTATAAAACAATATCCTCATGGAATCATGTGTAATTTTTGGCAAGAAGCTAGAGTATCTGTGAGTTTTTCCCTGATTCGAATTATAACAACCTATTTGGTGAGGTCCATTATACATAGATACATACATACATACATACATACATACATACATACATACATACATATATATATATATATATATA